AAAAATTTTAAAACATCACATAAACAGTTCAAATTATTGAAACGAACCCTAAAATGGGCCCATATACCCGCAACAATCACCCCATTTCCAAATAAGTCTTAAGTCAATATACGGGTAATTATCCCTAAGTAAATGGTGGACCAACATAGGGAAGGCCCAATGTATAGATTGGGCTTGGCCTTATAAAAGTAGGCCTTAGCCTCTTAGCTGGGGTACTATAAAAGAAATTTGATTGTTGTTTTGTTATCCAAGAAAGGGCGAAAATTCAAACCCACCGAAAAGGTGCTGACTCAGTTACAAGTGGTTGAAGGGGCTCCCAACTGATGGGAAGCAATACTACAGGGATGTTCAGAGACGTCCTACGTCAACCAATGCTTACAACAAAAGGCCGTATCCGGCTAGTGATAGGCAGAGACCACCAGTGGTTGAGCCTGTGGTGAACAGAATGCATGACAAAGGCAAGAAGCTCTTGCATGAATCCAGGCCACATAACTATTATAGAATGGAGAGTAGCCATTCTGAAAGAAAACTGGAGAGGGGTTCAGTTCATGGAATCAAAGCCAGAGATTGGCCCCCAAGACCAGTTTCACGCAGGACAGAAAATGGTCACCCCTATCGAAGGTCTGAATCAGATTCAAAACATGAGGACAAAACCAAGCACTTACCTTCACGGCCAGTTTCGAAGATGGCTTCGAAGGTGGAAAAGGGCAGTTCAGCGTCTGAATCAGCAAGTTCATGGGTACCTGGAGTCCCAGACTAGTTTGTAATGCAAAACAAACCTAGAGAATTGCCTATTCGATGAGATGTTGTAAACCAAGGCAGGATGATCAGGCCTCCTATGGTGGCTCCGAATAACTGGGTGCTGCTTAAACACCCAAAGACGAGGGAACCAGATATGGTCCCAGTCATCTCAAGATCACAGAGGAGAAAAATTCAGCGCAGGTACACCCAGTACCAGAAAGATCTGAAGGAAAGTGGAGAAAATTCTTCACCAGTCAAAACGGAAGGAAGGAAGAACCCAAAGTCAGACCATGCTCCAAAGCCGGTTCCACAGAGCAAAGTGGTCTGCAGCCGAGAACAATTGGCTAAGGTTCATGCCGAACTAACAGCTAGAGAGAAGTCCAGTTTAGTTGGATTGGAGAAGACTCTGATGGAGAGTGATAGTGAAACGAAAGAAGAGATTGGCACAAGCCAAAAGAAAGAAATAATGGAAGAAGAGATGTTCGAAGCCTTCATGGCTGAACAAACGACAGCGAGACTGAAGAAGAGAGTAGCGTAAGCCAGAAGAAAGAGGTCGTGGAGGAAGAGATGTTCGAAGCCTTCATGGCTGAGCAAACGTTTCTGACTGAAGAGCCGGTTGAGAAAGATCCTTCGAAGGGATCAGTTAGCAATGAAATACCAGAATGCATCATGCAGGATGTTTCTGAGGGAGTCAGCCAAAGTAACCAAGAGGGGGAACAAATACAGCCAGCCATCCAGTTTGGCTCATTTCCCCCAGTATCAGTGAACATGGTACACATACTACCACAGGAATTCCAAGCTGGAGATGAAAATCAAGAAGGGTAGAAAGCTGATCCAGTTCAGATCTCTAGTGAAGACTTGCAAGCAAGTATGGTGCAAGATAATTTCGAAATGGTTACCCCGATGGAAGATGAATATGAAAGTGAGGAAGTGGTAAGCATCAATCTATCGTATCCATTCGAGTACCCCTCAGATTCGATGACGCAGCACGTCAGGCCTTTGTACATCAAGGCTTTCTTTGATGGGGTACAGCTGAACCGAGTCCTAGTAGATAATGGGGCAGCAGTAAACCTACTCCCGAAATCTTCTTTGAAGAAACTAGGGAAAAAGAATCCCAGGTTGATACCAACCAGCACAACCATTGCTGGTTTTGCTGGAGATAAGCAAATGGCTCAGGGGATTCTACCTATTAATTTAAGTATGGGAACCAGGGATTGTATGACAGCATTCTTCGTAATCGACAGTAATGCTAAATATAATGCTTTGCTTGGGAGGGATTGGATCCACACTAACAAATGTGTGCCTTCTTCTTTACATCAGAAAGTCATGATGGCTTTAGGCAATGGAGAGACAGAGGAAATCAATGCAGATCCTCAACCCTTCATAGCCTGTGCAGACTTTGCGGAGGCTAAATTGTATATTGAGGGAGTGACACCTCTCAGTATACTGATGAAAGATGACAGTTCAGCCGAAGTGACGGCTGATGAAGAGGTGACACACCTGAAGCACTTAGTCCAAAAAAGTGCTGATGAAGAGGTTGTCCTTAGAGATGACAATGATGCCTGGTTATAGGCAAAGAGAGGAACCACAAGAAGCCAAGTCCTTGGCTTTGATTAAATTTTCAGCATTGGACATAAAAGCAATAGTCCAGAAAGTTCAGGAGCAAGAGAGAGAGGCCATGATAATTGGCTGCAAACAGCAGAAGCAACAGGCTAGAGTCTTGACTCTTGGTAAGTACTGTGCCTTGGACATTGAAACAAAAGTCCAAGAAATACAGGAAGAGGAAGCCTTGTGGACAGACTTTGTCTATGAGGAGGAGGACAGAGATATTGAATTGAAGAACCTGGGAGCAGAATCAAGTTTGAAGATCACTTCAAAGGTAGAAGAAACCAGAGGGAGTTCTCATGCACAAGACCCTTTAGAAGAAGTAAATCTAGGGGAAGGTTCTGTACAACAGCCCACCTATATAAGTGCTTGTTTGAATACTCTGGACAGAAACCAGCTATTGGTTGTTCTGAAGAAATACAAAGATTGCTTCGCATGGTCTTATAATGAACTACCAGGATTGGACAGGTCATTAGTGGAACACAGGCTCCCTATGAAGTCTAACTTCAGGCCATATAAGTAGAAACCAAGAAGGATGAGTCCAGAAGTAATTCAGAAGGTCAAGGAAGAGATCCTCAGACTACTCAAGGCAGGTTTTATTAGAACAGCCAGGTATGCCGAGTGGCTATCTAATATTGTGCCTGTAGTCAAGAAGAACGGTAAAATGAGGGTATGCATCGATTTCAGAAATTTAAATCTGGCAACTCCCAAAGATGAGTACCCTATGCCCATA